GCGTTTTCGTTGTGCCTTTTTTCGGGGGGGGGTGGTTCAGCTGAGTGGAGCGGTGACAGACGGGCGGAGTGGTGACGGAGCTGGGCGGAGCAGAGCGGGGCAGAAGAGAGTGGGGCGGATCAGAGCGGGGCAGTGACTAAGCGGGACGCAGCAGACGTGGGCGGTGAGGGGGGGGGGTTCAGCTGAGTGGAGCGGTGACAGACGGGCGGAGTGGTGACGGAGCTGGGCGGAGCAGAGCGGGGCAGTGACCAGGCAGAGCGGAGGATGTGGGATTTCAGGGTAACATTTGATCCTGAATTGAGAGTTTCACTGGTTTTTCACTGATGTGATATTTTCACTTCCTGCAGACCTTCAGCTCAGTGGGACTGCTCTGCTACGCTGTACCTGCACAACTTGCTCCAAGGTTGGAAAAGGATATTTATTATATGGAAATATTTATTATATATTTGTATTTGGACTAAAATGCTTAATAAAATGCTCTGATGTTCCCTCTAGCTTCTGTCCAAACAGAAGTGGTGCTGCATGAGTGGGAGTCAGAGTCTACTGCCATTGAGCTCTTTGTGACCATCGGCAACATCAAGGTGAGCTTTGTCTTTAAAACCTTTTTATTAACGTCCTTCTTTTTTCCTTTAATAATAAGGCATATAAGATGGTGCAGCTTCCAGACACGTAGGACAGGGCTCCTTTAGGTTAAATCAGGGATTTCCAAAGTGTTACTCGTCCACATTAAGGTCAGACATCCAGTAAAGTGTGTCCACATGCGTCTGCTGCTTCTGCTGCTCCTGTGCTCCGTTCGGCACGGATCGGTTTCCAGAGCGTAGTGTAAATGGGGCTATAAACTTTGCATATAAACCGGTTTCTTCTGCTGCTCAAAGCACATAGGTGTGTAGCAGCGTTAGGGGAAAACAGAAGATTGCTATGATCTCTCCTACTGGATTGGCCATGGAGGTCTCCTGGCGGGTTAATGGCTGTTGGGGGGTTCTAAAAGGTCGTTAACTCCTTCAGTGGTTTCGGTCACATGCCTCATTGAAGTGTGAGTCAGGTGAGGTGAATCTTCAACTCTCACCTGGATGTGACTGAAATCACTATGATGAGGGTTCTCGTTGGCTACTTTCATCTTAACGTTTTGTTTCCTTGTTATTAACTTTTATAATTAAATAATTTTTTTCGCTAATTAAAAGTCAGCTTATCACCATAAAATGCAGAGTTCTTGCTGCCCTGGTGCTCGTCTGCAGGGGGATCTGCCAAGCAACTCAGTTTCTCTCATATTTTGCTTTTGACCCCCACCCATACGAAAAAAGTGTGGAAAAATCCCCCAAAGTGTGTTAAAGCTATGAAGGATGTTCTTTTTCCGGGTGGATCATCANTGCTTTTGACCCCCACCCATACGAAAAAAGTGTGGAAAAATCCCCCAAAGTGTGTTAAAGCTATGAAGGATGTTCTTTTTCCGGGTGGATCATCAATATAACTGGTCCTCCTAACTGTCAATCATTCTGGCTATATGTTTACGTGAGGCCGTCCTACGTGCTCTTTCCCTCTTTCACTTACCGGTGGTGAGTCTGACATAGTGGAAAAATGTAAATCTTCTTTTGGAAAGTAAACTTTTAAAAGGAGCGTGCACGAGCCCATTCCTCTCGTGCACGCTCTCACATGTGTTTAGTAGACATGCACTCTAATCAGTGGGTACAGGTTTGTGGAGAAGGCGGGTCTTTTCAAAAATTCCGTCAAACAAATAACATCTCAGATCAGAAGAACTTCACAGCTTGAATCCATATTTGTGTATAAACTATTGACCATTTCATGTAAACAGTATATGTATCTGGATCCATAGAACAGGGGTAGGATTTAATAAGTTTTATTACTTCTTCCTACTCCTTTTCGAACATGATGGGATGTACATATGTTTTTTTTTTTCTTTTTCTTCTTTTTTTTTGTTTTGTTTTGTATGACTTTATTAATCCATATCATTAGTTTGACTTCCTCTTCAGGTTTAACATGTATGGAAACCATGTGATGGAAGCTTTGGGCTGACAAATTTGATTGTGTTTTATTTACAGATCTGTGTGAACGATGACCTGGTGGCCAAAAAGTTTGCTTATTACAGCAGCAGTGGCCTGGACGCCTGCGACAGAGCCCCTCTTCCCTGTTCCTATAGCATCCTGACTCCGACCCTTTCAAAGTGCTCCCACAAGCAGACAGAGCAGAATCTACGTTCTCCGGGTGACCATGGAGGTATGATCCCTCTGCTTTCAGCTCAGAGAATCAATTAA